CAAAAACATCTCTAGGAACTGTAAAATAAATTTTCTTTTCAAAGTAGGTAGTTTTAAAGCATTTGTACTGGTATGAAATTGCAAGTCCATACTTGAGAGCTGTACATCAAGATATGTTGGTTTCTGGCAGTTTGGACTTGGTGTCTTTGACATTGGGTAAGCAGAGAAGAAGGAAAGATAAATGAAACTTTCTTGCAGTTTAGGACAAACTGCCAACCTCTACCAATGACTTTTAGGTTAGTGCCACTTTTCCAGTCTCCTGGTCTTGAGGCTCGTTCATTGGTTATAAATAAATTTTCTAGGGTATTATTCAGTATTGCCAACAAAATAAAATAGAACTCTACTCCTAACCTACATTAATTCTGCATACACTGGTTGTCTTTTTTCTTTTACAGTTTTGCACACATTTTTTCTTGATTTCTTACCAATCTTTACCTAGCTCTGTCTATCCACAATGATTATTGTGCTTTTTTCCCTTACTTTAGATGAGCAGGTCAAACCCAGGTTTTCAGAAATGGGTTGATTTTTCCATACCAGAGCAAATAAGGCTGGTTCTAAGGGGAGTAGACTAGCAATCAAAATTAGTATCTAGTGTATTGGGTGTGAGGGTACATTGGTAGCATGAAAGAAGACTCAAAGCTGTGGGGAAAGTTAAGTCATAAGGCAGTCCGTGTTGTGCACAGCAAGTACTGTACCAGAAGATTGATTCCAGACTCTACCCATGACAATAATGTTAGGTACCATTTATTGTTTACATATAATGTGGCAGACAATTCCACATATTTTGCATTTCTTTGCTTAATTTTTATAAATCTATGAGACGAGTGCTATTATTGTCCTTCACACAACTGAAGTATACATAAATTAGCAATTTGCCTGGTGTCACGTAACTATTAAGTGGATAATCTAGAGAAATTCTGGCAGTCTGTCCTCAGAGACCAAACTACTAAGTACTGTACTTCCTGCCTTGCGGGACAGGACTTAGCTTCAATGTGAAGGCCCCCTTGCTAGAGAGGGGCAGGCAGGAACTACACACTCATAGCACAGAGACAGTAATACAGCTTCCCAATCATAAGGCAGTATTTCTTAGATGTATGGACGATAGGATATTTTAGCAAAGAATGGCATAGAATTGTGTTTATCATGATTAATTTGGCAATCATTCTGAATAGAAGTGATGTTTATAGTTGTGCATAAGAATGACACAGAATGAGCAGATCTGTGTGGTAAACATGGCCATATGATTGCTCTGTAAGTACCACAAATTCAGTATGTCCAAAACTAAATTCATTTTTCTTGCCAGTCAAGGCAGACATTTGGAATGGGTTATGTTTGTTCTCAATGTAACTTTATTCTGAAGTTCTGTTAGTTTTAACTTGTTTCCCTAAATCTTCCTTTTCTGCACTGACATTCCTCCTGTTGTAGATGAAACAGTCACAAACTGTCTGCTTTTTCTGATGCTGAAATCTGATCACATTTTCCTGCTGGCTTTAGTGTTCTTAGTATGAACACTTTATCATAGCTATGAAGATCTATGAAGTTGCCTTTGCTATCTCTTCAATTTTATCTTCAACTATTTTACTATATGCTATACATTTAAGTGATAGGAGACTTTGCTAACAACTCTTGTACTTCCTGCAAACCCAAGTTTGTTGTACTGTTTCACTGCTTAATTGTTTCCTTCCCTATCATACTAGCTCAGTCCTTTGTTTAGCTGTTGTATCATATAGCTATAAAAATTTCAAAATTTTGTGAACATTTGCTGTTTACAAGAGACTTTGTTTCTATTTTTGGACTAGAATACTTACATATATTTAACATGGTAAATGTTCAGTCCAAACTCCTTCTCCACACAAACCTATTAACACTTCTCAGAGGGAATGATCAGAAATGATGTTACTTCTGAGTCTGATGATTACTGTTTTAAACTTAGTCCTGAATGTCTTAAATGGAAGGTCTTGAGAACCAGCTGACTTTACTACTAGCTTTTTGTACAGTCTTTTTAGACTTTTCAGTACATTTACAAATAATCTTAAATTGAAGATTACATTTGTAATATTAGCATTGAAGTGTTTGGCTTTTAAATGTTACTGGAAACAAAGAATTTGCCATAGCTGAAATGAACCTGAATAGTTTCCCTTTCAGCCTCTCTCTGAACCCATGGTATGTTTATAGTGTGAATGAAACCTCAAAAGAGCATAGTACCATAGTTGAATCAGGGATAGCCACTGTATGTGTAGCCTCGTGTTAGTCATTTTACCTGCAGAAAAATGCAAATAGGGCCATGTATTTTCATTTTAGATGTTAGAGGAAAGGAATTATGCTTTACAAATACATCAAAGATCTATCAGGTTTCCATAGAAAAGAAAAATTGCTTGCAATCTTACCATTAATGATGTTAAAATTGATCGCTAATTAGTGCTTCTGTTCTCTTTGTATTGAAATCTCAATGTTCTAAATATTGCACTACATTTTTCTATAAAAAATTACTGCAATATTCACAAGTCACATTAAAATTTAAAAAAATTCACAAGTGACAAGGTTATTAGCACAGAACTTTGAGCTTAGCAAATTTGACCATCTTCTCCAAAAGTTGAATATCGCAAATGATGACTATTTCAACAGGTAACTTTAATGAATAAGAATTACAGGTTAAAAAAGAAAAAAGAATTACAGGTATGGAATTTTTTTTCTTTTACAAAAGGTAATATATTTGTAGTATTAAAGTTGATTTTAAGTATGCTTTTATAGTTACAAAATTTTAGTGATTATTGTGATGAAATTTGTAGTATACACTTCTGATTAATTTCAGAGTTGCTTTTACTGGTTATTACAGTATTGTCCCATAAAGGGAATTGTATAGTAAAAGGTACAAAACAAGATCAAGATTGTAGACTTCTTAATGCTGATTGATTTAGTAATGCACTGTGTTCTCATCTACCAGTTCCTTAGCCAGTAAAATGAAGAATAATAAAAAGCTCTGTCACCAACTTCCACTGGAAAGATAAGAGGACTAGTTTTCCCCAACTGATATGCCAACAATAATAGTTACACATATTTAATGGATTCTATTTTAATTGCACAAAATTGATTTATTACAATAGGCATACATAAAAGTGATTAGAGTGGTAGTTTTCTTTTGTAAAAATACAAAGTCTTTGATAACATTTTCAACAGTAAGCTGAAAAAAACTTTCATAAAATATTTTAGAAATGCTTTTTAACTAATTTATTTGTTTCAAACTGAATTTAATCAGTTGTAGAAAAATTTATTTAGAACTTTAATAATAGATCTACTTTTTGTTTCTTAGACTAATTTTTCATATTTATATGTTATGTTTAAAACTTATCTTCCCATATACTTCATTAATGCAGTGAAGTTGTACTTTATACTTGATGTAATCTCATCTTTGTAAGTATTGGTGTTCACACTTAAATACTTGAGAAGATTACAAAACCTAGTTCCAGGAAATTATTGACTTTTTTACATTGTCTTTTTGTTTTATTCAATTTGTTTGACAAATTAATTGTAAATTATTGTAATATATAAAACCAGTATTATGATTCTACAAAAAAGACCATGATCTTTTAAAAAGTTGTTCCTAATTTTGTATATCTTAAATATAGATAGCTTTTCAGTTAATTATTATTAATGTTTATTTTATTTATTTATTTATTTTGGTACTGGGGATCGAACTCAGGATCTTGCACTTGTGAAGCAGGCGTGGTGCCACTGAGCTAAATCCCCGGTCCTATTATTAATATTTAGTAAAGTGTTAACATTTGTAGCCTTAATTCTTTTTTATTTTTGGTGGTGCCGGGGATTGATCCCAGGGCTTTGTGCATAGTAAGCATGTGCATTACCACCAAGCTACACTCCCAGCAGTGATGGCCGTAATTTTTAAAATGTGCCTTCAGAGAATGGACAAAGAAGTAGAGTATTTTCCAATTCTGTATTTCATTAACTAACCATGATAGTAGCTTTTAAATGGTTGACAGTTCTGTCCTATTAGACATCTTCACTTTTTTTTGGTAAAATTTAAGTAAATGTGATTGTTGCTTATGTTAAATAAATTATACCTTAAATGTAGTATTGAGCCTTTATAGAGTTATGAATCATTGAATTCCTGATTAATGGCATTTCAGGTCAAGTAGGCCACTCTAATGTGATATGAAATTGAATGTCATATCAACAAATAATTTTGGGTGTGTCTGATTGTGGGATTTAAAATCTAATTAAAGTCATCAGCAGTTTCTAAAACAAATGCTTTGGAGAAGCTAGTTTTTATACTAAGTTAATTTTTTTTACAAGATTGTCTAGATTCTCTATCTTGGTAATATTGTAATATTGTAATATTTTTAGGAGTCACGTTTAAAACATTTATAGTTAATTTTTGAGCAGTGTTTATAAAGGTTTTTAAGAGAATACATTTTTCAAAATTCTAAATTATTCCTGTTTCTTTACTGCCTCTAGACTAAATTAATGTATATATTAAAGTGGCATTATCATGGAATTGTACAATAGATAAAATACTTATATTCTCGTACTTTTTATGTTCTATAATAGTACATACTAATGCATATTGTGTGTGAGTGTATGTATTATATATATGCATATAACATTTTAATTTTTAATTAAAAATTCAGCTTTATTGCAGTGCTGGAGATCAGACCTGCTGCTTTGTTTTTAATAACCTTTTTGAGTTTTTTTTACTAATGCATTATGTCCTTTATTTTAAATTGTACCTAGCAAAAAGAATATTTCTTAAGTGTTCTTGTTTTTAGAGAAGATAATACAGTACATGTCTTTATTCATTAATCACACTTCTAAATCTCATGTATTTTATTTTTATCTTAAAACATGTACAGACGTCATTCACTATTCTAGGATAAAAGGGACATTAGGCTTACATTTTAGTTATTTTAAACATGTAAAACCCAGTTCGTATTTTAAGTATGTAAGTATAATGTAAAATAATCAATACTTATTTTGTTTTCAAGATTAAAAAATGAAGCTCCCACTAAGGAACAAGGACCTGTGTCTCAGGTAAAATGTGTTCTGTTTCATAACTTAACAGTTTATATACATTGGAAAGTATTGTCTATGAATTTTTAAATTTTAAATTTCAAAATGCATACTTCAGTAATTATTGGCATGTTATAAGGAGGAGAAAGCTGAGGTTTAAAATTTTTCATCAAATATAAAATATCTAATTTTAAGTAAAATTATAACATGTTTTTTGTTTTGACAAAGATGTCATCTTTTTAAGTGCTTGTTATTTACCTTAACTATTGAATAATGGAAATATATGAATCAAAAATTACGAAGTCAGTTGAACCTCGGTCATTTGACACTCCAGGAAGTTAGTATTTCCAGATGATTTAATATTCTGAAACATTTAAACTGTCAAAAGGTTTTATCTAATTTTTAAAATAGAAGTATTTTGAATATATATTAACTATGTTTCAGCTATCTTAAATAGGTACTTTGAATGTAAGACTTATGACTATCATATGAATGTTATTTACTGGACAGTCTAATAGGTGATTGTAGAAATAGTTTTGCTCAAGTACTTTATTGCTGGCAATTTTTTGATATTAATATTTATTTGCTTCTTTCTGAGTAGACTGAAGAGAGTTAAGTTGACATTTGTCTTTTTTATACAATATTTCTGTCTTGCACAGTGCATAAGTGAAATCTAGGTAGAAATAGCAGTGTTTTTCCTGAAGGCTTTTATATGATATAAAATGTTCTTTTCCTTGAAAGATTTTTAACTATCATTCTTTAATGAATATAGGAGTTTTTGTTTTATCTTTCTTTTTGAGTGGGTTTTGGTAGTTTGTGGTTTTCTAGGAATTGATATGCTTTTATTTAAGATGTTGAACTTGTAAATATATTCTTACATATATAGAGTTGCTTGTAGTGGTCCCTTATTTTCCTTTTAATGTTTGTGGGGTCTGCAGTGGTACCCCTTTTTCAATCCTGATACTGAGATTTTGTGGGGTTTCTTTCCCTGTTGTCATATATTTTACTTTTACATATGTTATAAAAGCAGAGACTGACTTTAAAATTTTTTTAAATTTTTGCTTAGTTATCTTTTGGGACTATTAAAAAATCAGTTTTACATTTTCCTTTATTTTTACCATTTTTAGTGGTTTTCATCTCTTTATGTAGTTCTCCATTTCTGTTATATATTTTTTATTTGAACTTTTTTGGTGTACAGTATCTAGTGTTGCAGATACTGGTAATTCTTTCAAGGCCTCTTGTTTAAAAATGTTTTGCTTTTTTGAAAGATCTTTTTATATTGACTTTTTTTCTTTCAGCAGTTTAAATAATTTTTTGGAGGGGCTTGTATACTTGCTGACAAGATGTCTTATACTGTAATTACTGTCTTTGGATCTCTGTATATAAAGTATCATTTTTCTTTGGTTGCCCTTAAGATTTTATCTTTAATTGTCACCAGTTTGTACATATGACATGTCATGTACAAGTGTTTTTGTTTATTTGCTTATTCTTACGTTTATCTATTTGTGTAACTACTTTTGGCATTTATCCTAATTGGTATTTTCACAACCATCCCTTTTCCAATGAAATTCCAGTTCCTACATGTTGAACCATTCCATGTTAACCCTGTTCTTAAATACCTTGATTTGCCCCCTCCCCCTAATGTTTGTGTTTCATTTCAGATACATTCTATTGACTTGTCTTCAATTTCACTGGTTCATTTTTCAGTTGTGCCCTGTGTTCTGATGAGCCCATCAAAAGCATTTTTCACCTCTATCATGCTGGATTTGTTTGTTTCTATTCCTAAGCATTGTAATTGATTTCTTTCTTAAAGTGTAACCCTACTGAAATTTCCATTCTGTTGTGCATGTTATCTCCCTTTTCTACCAAAGCATGTAATATATTAATTGCAGTGATTTAAAACTTTCTCTTTGGGAGTTCCAATATCTGGGGCTTGTCTAAGTCTGGTTCTTTGTCTCCTGATATTAGATTTGAAAGCCAGGCAGTGTGTGTAGGACTGCAGTAAGTAGTGTCTGTATCTGGAAATCTGCACACCTTTTCTTATGTTAAACCGTTAGTGTGGGGTTTGGGTCTATCTAGTACAGAGCTGACCTGAATTTTGTTTCTCTCGGGATTATCTCAAGGCACTGCTGGGTTCAGTTCCTTCAGTAATTCATTGTGTTGAAAGTGGGAGTTACATTGCTGCAGATTTTTTCCTCTTGATGTTCCCCTTGCTCCATACTCAGCTTTTGACTTTCCCTGTGAGACCGAGGCTGTCTGCGCTCTTGCGCTTCTTTCAGGGGTACTGCTGTTGCTTAGTTCCGGGTGTTTTCGAGGCTGGGGGTGGATGATACTCTCTGTTGTGATGTGACTTCACTCTTAAACAGACTGCCCAGAGTTTTGAGGGTAGAGTTCTTTTTCCTTCCCCCAGCCAGTCAGTCACTGTGCTTTGAGGGCAACAGGGTTTGCTTTTCTCCTTTCTAAGTATGTAAAGGTATAAACATGAAGGAAATCTATGAAACCTATGCTTTGGAGCATCGTCCCTTGATTGTTTCCCAATAACATTCATACTTGACTAGAGTAAATCATTAGTTTTATTTTCCTGTGATTGTACTGCTCACATTTGTCTAGTGAAACCAGCTTTTTTTTATATGAAAACCAAGTTTCTTGAATTAATTTTTTGTTTAAAAAACAAAAAAAAGGTGGGCCTGGTGCAGGCTTGTAATCCCTGTACTCTGGAAGGCTGAATTAGGATGCTAAATTCGAGCCCAAGATTGGCAACTTAGTAAGACCCTGTCAAGAAAGAAAGAAAAGAAAGAAAGGAAGGAAAGAAAAGGAAAGGAAAGGAAGGAAGGAAAGAAAAAAAGAAAGAAAAAGAAGAAAGAAAAAGAAAGAGAGAAAAGAAAAGAAAGAAGAAAGGAGGGAAAGAAAAGATTTTTTAAAAGGGCTGGGGCTGTAGCTTCGTGCAAAGACCCTGGGTTCAATCCCCACCCAGTACTATAAAATAAATAAATAAAAACTTTAAAATAATTTATGCTAAAAATTTAGAAGTCCATAAGCAAATTTAAAGGAAGCCCTATAGAAAAATGGAAGCCCACAAGAAACAGTCTTGGTCCATGTATTTCTTTCAAGCATACATGTGATGTGGATAGTCCCTTGAATGGATCCAGGTGTTTGTATAATGTGTACATGTGACATGGTAGACAGCTTGAATTAATCTTCAAGATTTTGATCAGATACATCATAATGGAATCAGTATTATCACGTCCCCATAATATTTTCCTCTTATCATTGTGATAATATTTGTATTTCTCTACATTTCCTCCTTGAACATCAATTCCTATTCATATACTAGATTGCCTCTGTTCTGCTATGATATATATTCTGTACTACAACATTCTGCTTCTGTTTCCAGTTAATTGTATATGCACCGTGACTCTTCCCCTCCAGTATTAAGTTTAGTGTAGTTTCATAATAAGAAAATAGGAGGTAAGAGAGATGATGTAGGTAGATATAGTACATGCCTTTCTCCTTGCTTCCTACCTTAGCTGCTAGGGAACACCCCATAATATATTCCAGGAATCCTTTTATTGAAAACAGAGATTAATATAGTTCCTTTCCTGTCTGTTGTCAAGGTGGTTTCTTAATTCAAAATATACACATAAATATGCAGAGTAGAAATTCCCTGTTATTTCATTATGAAAATGGCAGATTAGCTCTAGTCTGTATTCCTATAAGGCTACATGGAGTGATTCAATAAAAAAAATTATAAAGTTTCATGGTAGCAAAGACTGTAATCCTAGCACTCAGTGGGCTGAGGAAGAAGAATCATAAATTACACTGAATTAACCCTGACCATCATAGATATATTGCCCTCATATCTGTATGATATGAAGATAAATGATACATATGAAGATATTTGAAATAGACAGGAAATTTTAAATGGTCTTCCGATTTTGAATTTTTAAATTGATATAAATACATCTGATAAAACAGCCACTGACCTGGCACTTAAAAAGTCTTGACAATTTCATCTGAAATAGTTTAACTTGTAAGATAAAATTGACATTGTGTTTGGATCTTTTAAAACTGAACATACAAGGTATGATTGAAAAGTACAATGAATATGTAAATTTTTAAAATATATTACAGTAAAAGAAACATTGCCGTTATTCTTTCTCAGAATATTCCCCCTAACCTCAAACACATTTATCTGTAGCATTCTTGCCACTTTCTGAAGCAGCTCTGGAAGTCCTTTAGTTGTGTTGTCATGATTACTTCCATGCTCTCAGTTGATTCCTTTATCTTTCATGGTCATTTTTACTTTTGGGAAGAGCCAGAAGTTGCATGGTGCCAGATCCAGTAAATAAGGTGGATGAAGACACACCATCATGTTTTTATGAGCCCGCCTTTCCACTGGATGGCACTGGACAGCAACATTCAATCATGAGAGAAAGCATTTCATTTTGGAGATTTCTGTTTGGGGGAAGGTTTCTTGGGTTATCTCACTGGTAAATTTTTACTTCCATCTCCCTCCCTACCTACCTCCTTTCTTCCTCCTCCTCTTCTTCTTTTTCCCTCCCTTTTGTCTTTCGTATTTTTCTGATACTGGATTTCCTAGAACAGCTCCTTTTGTTGTATGTTCCTTTCTTGCTTACTTATTTTAGTTGCCGTATTTATAATTAACATTTTATTCTCTGGTTCTATTTTTTAAGTTTTGTTATTGTTTAATGCTGTAATAACATACGTCTCTGGGGATATTACATATAGAAATTTTTTTTCTCTTGTTCTAGTGATATCTCTTAAATATCCCAGCCTCTTTGCTTATTTAGTTTGGTCTTTCTCCTGTTAAAGGGTATCTTTATTTGTGTGATAATGAGTGCCCTTACATAGTTAAAGAGTGGAGCTAAAAAGTTCAGTGGAAACCCTGTGTGTTTGAATGGGGACAGGGCCACCTTGCATAGCCATGTGGGTTGTACACTGCAGAACTCCAGAGGGCACGGTTAACATACATCCCTTTTGTACTGTCAAAAATAATTGATATTTACTATGTTAAAAGTTAAAATGTGAAATTCAAAAAAATACTTATTAATTGACTTCATAATAAACCTATTACATATTAACATTGTTTCTCTGGAAAATAATTTCTAAAACAAAAGAAATTCAGGAGAATACCCTTCTTTTGTACTTGTACATCTTTTTAATGTCTAGCTTAGTAGAAGATAACTGGATTTTCATGTTTCTGAATTTGGTGTGTTGTGTTATATTGTTTTGGTTGAAATAGATGAAAAATACCTAGCCTCACCCAGTATATTAATAATCTTTTCAGATAATTGTATTTTCCTTTGCTATTGTGCCCAAACTAGACAAGTGGAAGTTTTCTCTGTTGTAGTGTGGAATATGACTTTATATCACTGAACTTTTAGCACTTTGTAGATCAAAATCTATTGGTCCATTTCATATTTTGAGTAGATCTTTTATCCATGCATGATGTTACAAAATCATTCAAAAAATATTGATTTACTGTGTTACATAGTTCTTCCACATTTTGACGTTATGTTATATAATATCAAGTAATCACATTTATTAATATTAACCTTAATCTGATCAGTGATGGATATGAATTTTCTCAAAATGTAATTTTTTACTTTGTTATCAAAAGCAAATACTGTCAGTTGTTTTCTTTGATATGGAAGGTTCATCTTAGTAATTTTCAAGAAAATGTCTACTAGGTACCCAAACCTAAATACCCACAGTTTGGCAGTTATTCTTTAAAACAAAAGTGATGTTCCATGAAAAGGTGATTAAGTTCACCGCACAACTCAGTTACAGACCGCGGTGTTTTGGTATGCAGCATCAGTGCTTTGTGTACGCTTCTTATCTCACCACACAGAATATTAAAAAGACATGAGTTCAAACATTGATGTTTAATAAAATTAGTTTTATTGCTTGTGTAAGATTAGTGATGCAGTTTGGGTTTGGCACCATTGCCTTGATTTGCATTTAAGTGTCAGTATTTTTATTTACCATTGTTTTTATACCAAGAGTTATGACCATATATGCCTCCTGAAAGTAGCTTGGATTCCCTAGGTGTCTGTGAATCACACTTTTGAGACCTATTGATGTGAATTATAATGTGAATATTGCTTCCTGGACTTGTGGACTACATGATGTATATGGGTAGGAAACGTAGGAAAATCGGGTGGTGAACTGATTTCTTTGGTGAAGAGAATACTCCCAAAGTTACTATAAAAAAATCTTTCTTTGGGCCTGAGGATTTGCTTTAAAGAGAAATCTTCTAAATTCCAACTGGGGTGGTAGGGTGGGGAGTGATTCCTCTGGCCACTGGCATTCTTAGACTCAGGTGAGAAGAGGGACTGAATATCTCTCTGTTTAGTATTATGACTTTAAGCCTTCCTGTTTTCCCTCACCACACATACCTGTCTTTTGCTGTTCCTGGTTTTGGCAAGTCTAGAATGTGTCTTCCTCAGTTGACTAACTTTTAACTTCTGTGGTAAAGAATGGAGGGTACCTTTTGTGTGAATAGGAGGAAGGAGCATTGAGATTTCCCAGCAGTCCTTGTCCTTCATTTTTGCTCTTTATATACTAGGTATTGTACTGGGTTCCTTGAAATGAAAGCTGCCTTAGGTTCTTCACACCAATTTGACTCTCTACATTGCCCCACTGCTGATGGTTCACTGTAACTTCTTCCATGCTGCTAAGTCATGTACCACTCCCCTAGCCACTTCCATCTTCTAAAAACCTTGAAATCACTTTAGTAATTAGTATGCTTTGGTGTATTCTTAGTCTTTGTGACTAAAACTCTTTTATTTTTTTGCCCTCATTTTAGCAGAGTTTAGGAGGATAAGGAGACAAATGTGTGTGACTGATAAACTCTATTCAGTTTCACAGGCTTAAATCAATCTGCTATAAGGGTTAAGAGCTAGACATAAATTTGAATCTTTACTATTTATTGTCATATTGCACTGGGTTTTCTATTTAGCCCACTTATTTCTCATTTGTAAGTAGCGAATGTAAAGTTCTTAATACTTCCTTTTTATTCAGTAATACACATCCTATTTGCTCAATAGCTGGTAGTTGTTATAAAATGTCAGTCTAGCCTCTAGCATACTGGGGTTTCACTGTATTGTTTTCCTCTTAAAACATTTGAAATAAGCGAAATGTTTCTTCCCTTTGTCCATTTTCATTTTCTGCATTTGACAGTGAAAAGCTTATCATGATTCCAGTATAGAATCAAAATTTCAGAAATTTTTTTCTAAGTGTTTGTACTCAGCATATTTATATAAAATACTGTGGATGCATCTTCTTATTCAAATTCAAGTTGCATTGTATTAATTTCTATTCAAGTAAGTAATTATGGTCCATATTTGAAAGAGACTTAAGGAAAATAGGTATTGATATAAGTAGATAACTGCCTCTTGACTTGGATTCAGAAACTTTTGGTACAGTGAAATTCTTCAGAGTTTAAATATTTTTGAAATCCTATTCTTAATTATGAGAATTATTCTGTACTTTAGATTAAAAATTGTTTTTCTGTTTCTTTGGTGTGTTAGATTATACACTTGTTTCTTTTATCTAGAACATTTAATATAATAAATATAATTTAAGTTTTGCCATGAGTGTAAAATAAAAGTATTATTAATAATTTCAGGAAATTGCAAGACCTCATATGGCTGAAGGAGAAACAGAAACATCAAGTACCAAAAGGTAAATATAAGGAAAAGCTGAATCTCTTGAAATTTAAGTATATAAAATAACACTTGACCTGCATTATTTCATAGTTAGCTATGAAAGTTATTTAAATTTTATATATATATGGCATTCTTTTAGTAATGACTTTAATTAAAATCAAATTTTAAAATTTTAGTCCATCAAAAATATTTCAGATCCTTGGTTTTAAAATCTTGTATACATGTACAGAGTATTTTAGAAGTTGTTAATTTTTTCGAAAAGCTACTTACTAGCAAATAAAATGTTGAAAATTGTTAATTGGCCCTATTAAATAAATATAACTACAGTATACTGCAAGTTACAATATTGGGACAATTATTGCTAATACGTATTCTTAAAATATTTTAAGTGTTTTCATAAAGCTCTATAACTTATTTCTGTGGAAGGATCTAAACATAAAAGTTTCAAAATTCAGGGATTGATTTTAAAAGTTTTAATGCTTAGGTAGAGCTCTAATGAACACAACATACTTCACAGTCCTTTTTGAAAAGACAAAAGAGAATCCTAGCATTCTAATTAGAACTTCTTCAAGATAAAGATCATTTTATTTAGTCTTAAGTATTTTCCCCATTTCTTTTTTTATAGCATATATTTTACCACTTTTTTTTTGTACCGGGGATCAAACTCAGGACGCTGCACTTGCGAGGCAGGTGGCAGAACCACTGAGCTAAATCCCCGGCCCTATCGCATATATTTTAGAGTAGGTTGCTTATTAATCTGTTGAGATTAATTCATCTTTTGCCCCTCCAGATAAATTATTGAATAACACATTCAAAAGATGTTTCTTGAGCTTCACTAATAAAGTTATGTAGCCCTTTCTTCACCTAGAATTTTTCCTAGATTTTTAGGGAGTTGGTAACAAAAATTCACCTGGAGTTAGAAAAAGACTGGTCATCTTTATATTATTTAACATTTTGTGTAAATTGTGGTTAGTCGAATATGACCTGAAAAGAATAAAAATCAGGAGTATTTCCCTTTCAAATACCCGCTTCTTGTCCAGAGTAGTGCTCACACGTGTTTTCTCTCTCTCTCATTCTGTCTCTTCCCCCTTTCCCCATCTTCAAATAAATCGTTTCCTTTTATTAAAAAAAAAGAATAAAAATCATACAAATTTGAAATGAAAAAAACAATAAGATCTAGGACAATGAGCTAAGAATGATCAGAATTAATGAGTATGAATTAAGGAAGTTTGATATTAAAAAATTAAATCTTTCTGACAGATCAGTAACATAAGGTTACAAATTATAATGACAAAAAGTTCATAATGGTAATAAAAACGAAAACTGTACATAAAAGCCAAAATTTACAGAGGTAATTCATATGAGAGGTCATTTTCCAAATTAATGTGTAGATTCAGTCAGTAGTTAAAAATCTCAGAGACACTTGGTTTAGAAACAAAATAAGATTTCTACTTTTTCATTTTTTAATATATTTAATAATTTGTTAGACGTTAAATTTTTATGTATTTACTATTTTTAATGATTGTTTTAATGAGCATCATTGTATAAATATCTTTTACATTTTAAAACTGAAATTTTTAAATAGGGAAATGTAGGTTATTTGCTATACTAGGGAATAACACATATTCTTTTTTTTTTTTTCTTTTCTTTTTGGTACTGGGGATCGAACTCAGGACCTTGTACTTGCAAGGCAGGCAGTGGAACCACAGAGCTAAATCCTCAGCCCTCACATATTCTTAATCTATTGTTAAGATTGTGTTGTGTTGGCCGAAGAAAAGAATAAAGATAAATCAGTAAGAAAATAAATCCCAGAGAAATAGCCTTATACATATAATAATTTAATAAATACTAAATGACTATTTGAAAATGTTGCTAGAGGCTAAATTCCAAGTAGATTAAGTATAAAAAATAGGTATACATGAGCTTTTATTTTGTTAAAATGAGCTTACTGAAATATAGATAGGGGCTGCAAATCCTAGAAATCGTTGGCTTCTACTATTTTATGATTCACTAGATAGTTTCTATTTGTGCACCAGGGTAAGAGTAAACATCCATAAATACGTATGTGTACAAACATACACTGACATATGTATGCATTCATATATTTATGTATGTTTTTAAGGCATGTGTTTATGTTTTTTAAATTAGGCAATTAAAAATTAGGGAAATGTTTGTGAATGGTTATCTAATTTTGCATAGGAAAAGACATTTTAAGCACAAGAGAATGTATAAAGCATAAAAGAAAATAGGATTTTTTCCAAATATATTTTTTATTTTAGGTACTCTTACAAATCAGTAAGAACACTTAAATTCTAACTAAAACCTTGAAAGGAATTTGAACAGATGAAAATAATAACAGCCAGAACTAAAGCCTGCTGACATACTCACCAAACCCCTGATACGTGACTTCTTACCTAAGGAAATGCCATCCTGGTAACCTGTATGCCATTGTTCCCTTTTCAGCAGCAGATGTGTCCTAACTTTCTCCTTTCTTGGGGCATGTTTTTATTTCATAGTGTTCAAATACATTTTTTAATGAATCTTTATTTTTCAGTAAGCAAGATGAAGCTTCATCAGAAGAAAAACATGGATGTGATGCAGATTTACTTGAAGGCTCATCAGCAACACAAAGGGAAGAAAACTTAACAGTTTCAGGTAAAGAAAATGATACCCATCTAGCAGATCAGGAAACTAGCTCAAAGAAAATCTTCAGCTGTGATTCAAACATTGGTGCAGATAAAGTGGAAAAGGAAAAAGAAATACAGCAGCACGTTGGTTGGGAAATGGAATTGAAGATGGGCCAACATTCAGAAAATATAACTTCACGTGATCAGGTCGAAGATGACAACTCCAGTGAAGCTAAGTTTTCTTCAAAGAACATTAAGGATTTGCTGTTAATGTCAAGTGATGTTAGCATTGATCAGTTTCTGAGAAAAAGAGGTGAACCTGATTCTGTTAGTTCTGATGTTAGTGAGCAAGGCAGTGTTCATTTGGAACCTTTGACACCATCAGAGGTTCTTGAGTATGAAGCCACAGAGATTCTTCAGAAAGGTACCAGTGTTCTTTCAGCCAAGACTGATGAAGAAGTGTCTGATCAAACAGATGGCATCCCTGGAGAAAACAGTGCTAGCACAACAGAGACAACAGCACACTTGGTAGATGAGAAAGAAAGAAGCTGAAATGATGTAGCCACTCATAGGGCACCAACAGGAAGTGCATCTGGGAACTGTGCTCTCAGGTGAGCACACTCGCTCTGGTGGAGGTCAGAAATAGGAAAATGTGTGGGAGGTCATTAGTACACTTTGCCTGTATGTTCAGTCGAGGTTATTAAACAAATCAACTAACCAATGGTTAGTATGGATTTCCAAGTTTTTAAAAAATGAGTAGGGCTTTAATGAAGGCTTTGGTTTGTGATCAGAAGTTCTCATTTAAGTTTTTAAAGAAATGAGACATGGTTGCTGACTTGATTATAAGAATATTAGCTATATTAAAACTTTTCAAACTTTCATCACTCCTAAGCTTAAAATCCTATTATATCATTTAAAATCCTCCTTGTATCTAAAAACCTATGTACCTTTTTAAATTAACTTAAAGGAAGTGATTTGGAAACCATACAGATTTTTTGAATAACTGATTTAAAGTAATGGCTGATTGGCATTGTTAATGAAGACTTAGAGTGTGATGCTGGTAATGGAGCGTGTGTAGAGTGCTCAGCTGATGTCATGAGAACTTGGACGGACAAAACTTAACTTTGAATGTAATGTAACATCCCAGTCTGCCAGAAGCATGTAAACAGAATATTTTAATCTGTGTTCCTCCATACAAGTGTTAGCCTGCTGGGCAAGCTTACCTTTAATTAAACTTTCAGTGAAAGTGAAATTATTAAAATATAAACTTATATTTGTGTTTTTGGTCAGTGTGTAAACAGCAGAAATTGCTCACTGTACTAGTTGTATAAAGTGGAAGTCCATTTTTGAAACTCTGTTAGCTATTATGCTTTTAATGATCGTTTTTAAAAATAGACCCATAAAAATGGTCTGGAAGCCAAACCAAAGTATGGTATAATGTAAATACTGTAGAGGAGTAAACTGAAAACATGTTTTGGCATGTATTCAGCCAAATTTAAGTGACTTTTTCTGTAATTATAAGATAGGAACTTCAAATGGGACCTAAAGCAGTGATGTAAAAAAATTGGTTTGGGGAATTTAGCCTAATTTATCTAGAAGTTAGCTGCTAAGTTGGTTTTTCAGGGTTTTTTTTAAATCATCTAGAAGATAATAGATACAGAAATGAATCATATCAAGAATAGTAGTTTGCTTTAAAGTTCTAATAAAGTTTTATTTAAATGCTACATTTTTACTTCTTAAAATGTGCTTTGAATTCTTAAAATTTTGTTTCACTGAATGTTAAGTGTTTTAAATGGCCATTAACATTCTGCTGTATATACTAGTTTTTGAGTATTTGCAATAAAAATCTGTCTCTGAACAATTGTATTTTTCAGATCACTGATTAACTTTGCTACTGTTAGACACTGTATACTTGTTTAAAGAAATTTCTTCTTAAAAGTTAATACAATTTCATTCTGTATCCTTTAGCTGATACCTGACTTATTTTAAATTAGAATGAAAATATAAGGGATAATGTCATTAATATTTACAGAGAATAGTAGCTTTATACTTTTACTTCACAGAAAAAGTTTAATTATAAATATTTTTCAAATATTTATTTGAGGGAGATCTAATATTTTTATCTTTCCTGCTCCCAAGAAAAGGTAGGGAGACCCATTAGCTGTCATCCTTCACCTTAGTGAAACATAAATCTACAGCAGGGAAAAGTTTTGGAGTCACATAAGCCTTCAGAGAGCAGGGAGTAGAAAAAATGTTTGGCTATATAGGAATCACTGTCTGAGTTTCATTTGATTTGTTGCCAAGTCTATCATTTTATGTCTCTCAAGTACTTTTGAAAATAAGTCTCTTAAGTGAAACCAGAATCCCTTTTGAGGTTTGATTTATTTTTACTCCCTGGCTCCCTATGCCTTTAGAGTAGTGATATTCAAAGTAGCTGTTCCACAAACTGTACCTGTCTACAGTGAGAAAGGGGACCTGTACCAGACTGTAAGTCTTTCACTGAGAAAATCTGACAAAAACAAAACAAACAAAAATATTGAAATAAGCATTGTAGTTGCTAACTGTTGGTTTATATCTTCAGACAAGCTCCAGTCAGGAACTACCTATAGCAATTTGGGTGTACAAACCAAATCTTTGAGTAACAGTGGGCAGTGAGTGGCATAGTTTTTCTCTGTAGTAAATAATTGTGGGTTATGTTATTGCAATTACTCAAATTCACCTTGTAGCGTGAAAGCATGTGTGTGTGTGTGTGTGTGTGTGTGTGTGTGTAGGGGGTAATAATATGTAAATAATGATCCTATTTGTAAAACTGTCTGCAAAATAGAAGGTTGGCTGGATTTGGCCCCTGGACCACAGTTTGCTTACCCCGGCTTTAGAGTGCTTAGACATGAATGTGCAGAGCATTCATGCACTGTAGTTAGTGACCTTTTGCCTAAAAACATCCAAAGGCCAAGTGTGGTGTATGCCTGTAATCGCAGCACTCAGGAGGCTGAGGCAGGAGGATTGCTGTGAGTTCAAGGCCAGCCTGAGCTACATAGCCAGACTCTGTCTCAAAAACAAAACAGAAAGCTAATTTTTTATATCCCATCCCTCCTCAAGCCCCCTCCCCTTCCTATGTACAGAAGCTTTGTTTCCATTTTTTGCTTCTATTTTCACTTTTTTTCTTATCCCTTCCTTCCTTTCTCCCTTGCCCCTTGTTCCCCTTCAGAAAGCTAATTTTTAGTGGCTTGTTTAAAGTATTACAAAATCACCTTTTTTTTTTTTTTTTTTTTTTTTGAGACAAAGTCTCACTATGTATTTTAGGCTGGCCTTGAACTCACTATATAACCCAGGCTGGACTTCAGTTCACTGCGATCTTCCTGCCTCAGCCTCCCAAGTGCTGGGACTACAGATCACCTTCTTCATTTAAAAGATTATACTGAGCATAATGTAGTCTTCATTAATATGGTGTGTCTTTATGAAGATTATTGGATAAAGCTGTGCACAGATATTAATGGCCAAAATGATTGCTGATCATACAAGTTCTTTTGGGTTTTGGTTTCTGGGAAATGTCCCAGCTACTTTGGAGGTGTTTGATTTTCCAAAAACAGAGCAGAAAAATCGACTGAATTATGTAGCCACTGCAACCATATTTTTTAAAAATTTACATTTACTGGGCCGGGGATTTAGCTCAGTGGTGCGGCTGCCTGCCTTGCAAGTGCAGGGTCCTGAGTTTGATCCCTGGTACCAAAAAAAAATTACCTTTTCCTCCCTAAATTATGTCCTTTATGGAGAATTCAGGAACAGTATACTATAGTTTTAAACTTGTAAAATATTTAAAATTTTACCACTGTATTAAAAGTATTTTAATTGCTTTCTATTAAGGGATAGCAAACTGTGACCCCCAGGTGGCCACCTGTTTTTATAAAGAAAATTTATTGGAACAACCATGCCATTTGTTTACATATTGTCTGTTATATATTTGTATACAGTCCAGTGGTGTGTAACAGAGACCATATGGCCATAGCCTAAAATATTTACAGTCTGGCCCTTTCAACAAAAGTCTACCAATCCCTGCTCTATATTTTCGATAAGCATATCATACTTACATAACCATTCTTTTATTTTTATTACTATAAATATTACAATGAAAATCTTGGTTCAGAAATTTAGGTCTGCACTTTTTATACATGTACTAGAATTCAAAGTGTGCACTTTATGAAACTGGAGAGTGTTCAGTTTTCAAATTTAAAAATAGCCATATTTGCTTGGTCAAATTAGTATATCTATATAAAAATCAAAACAATACATGTAAGTTTTTAGGGGAAGAATGAAAATTTTTCCTACAATTATACTTATGGAAAGAGATTTTTGTCCCATCATAAACTGTCAAGAATAGAGGACTTATTCATCTAGAATTTTTTTCAACTCTTCAAAATCAGTTTACCTTTTCTTTTTTAAATGTAATGTGATTTTCATTCCTGTTATTCACCAAATATTTCTGTTGTATGGCCCTGTGACTAGTTCCTGGTGAGTGAATTGTGAGTAAAAGAGGCTTCTGGTTTAGAGCACTTAAGTTTCGATGTGAGCATCTTTAGAGCTCTCTTCTGTTTGGTATGGTGACTAGTCACATTCGAGATGGTGATTGCCCCAGCCGTCTGGGTTCCTGAGTGACTTCTACCATATGAACAAAACCTCTGGGTTTATTTACATGGGCATGTGAGGGAGACATAAATATTTTGGTACAAACTACTGCAGTTAGGGAATTTTTGTTTTTCGTGCCTAACCTAACTTATCTTGACCAATACAGGAATGAATCCTGAAAGCAGAGTGCTGCCATTAAAAAAAAAATCTAAACTAAACTACCTATTACAGTGGCTTGGGTGATAGATGGTAATGCTGCATGAAGTGATCCACATTCTACCATGGTGAGATTTGATAAACTTGCCTATATTTAGAAGATAAATAATATATATAATGAACATTTATTTTTGTTGGGAGATTTTAGATAACAGAATGTTAATCGCATGTTTTGATTACTATATTAGCTGCATTAGGCAAGATATTTTCAAGAAATGAACTAAAATGAGAAATGGTAGGATTGCAAATGGAGACAAAAGAGAATAGAAAAAGTCTGGAAATTCAGATACTTGCAAGATTCTATCAGAAGAGGCAATAATCCCCAACCAGTAAAAGGAGAAGGCCTTTAAGCAACAAATTTAATTAAATCAACAATATGGGCATCACAGTAATTGTTAAAACTTCTAACTAGGTTAAAAAGACCCATAGTGTTTCTCTGTGAGAATTCCTTCCAGCATTTCTTGAGAAATTTATATGTTTTCAAAGTCTCAAGACAAGTCAGTCAAGAAATTGTTAGGACAGGGAAAAGTATTATAACTGTCCCTTAAGATTAAAGCTTAGTTATCTACTTAGAACCATTACTTTTCAAAGGAATCCATTGAAATCAAACCCAAAAGCAAGAGCAGGGAATGCTGGCATGTAGAGTTTAAGGGTAAGGTCAACATTTCTAGGAACCAGAACGGGAGCACACAAGAGAATTGGTCACATTCTTGTAGCTATTACTGTGTCATAAGAACATGTTTGTGCCCTGTCTGGTGCTAATGATGAGTCTCTCTTGTAAAATATTAATAGGTGTATGGTGTACGTTATTCAAATCCTGTCAGTGGTGTTCTAGGAAATAACGTTTTGGAAACAAAACAAGTCCTTAAATTGGAAATTCTGACTTGTGATTCTGTGTAGTGCTGTTAATCCTGCTAAAAAGATCCAAATGTTACATTATACAAATACTACCAGATTTGTTGGCAATTCCCAGCATTTGATTATTGCCAAAGGCTACTGTTCTTTGCAAATACTTCAACAAGAAATGCAAAGAAAAGAAGTGAATGTTGTGGAACATTTAAAAAAAAATGAGAAACTGATCCAAACTCAAATTAATAAAATCAATCAATTTCAATAGCAAGACCTAATATTCTCATCATTAAAAAAGGAAAAGAGCGTCTATGAAGCAACATGTAACCTAAGATTAACTTAAAGATGTTTTTCAGACACACCCTTAATGATTCAACTATTAATACAAAAGAAAGAATATTTTCATATTTGAAATATTTGTTGAAAAATAAAGACTAGTATTATATAGGGCAACTAATACTTTGTGTGCTTTAAATTTTCATTTTAAGAATAACTTAACCAAAGTCTGTGGTACTTCAAATTTTCAAGATGATTTTTTTACATTCATGTTACTATGGTCTTCATTTTTGTTATCAGATATCTATATCAGGTAGAAATACAGGTATTGAAATCATCTTGTCACAATATATTGGTAAAAAATGATAATAAATCATGTATTTATTATATTTTACCAGAAAATTTCTGGGACATGTAACTCAGAAAAATGTTTCACCTAGTCACAATTATTTTGAAGTATATTAAGTATAATGTTATGGAAAACACAGAATGGCGATTTTGTATAATTCTGGAATTTCTAGAAATTTTGATTTTTTAAAAAATTCTTTTATTGGTACATTGTAGGTATACAACACAATTACATTTCTCATTGGGAATTGTACCTTTACATAATGCATCTTGGTT